CGCGCAGCCGCCGCAGCCCCGGGCGAGCGCCGACTGGGGCGGCGACCGGAGCGCCTCGCGGAGCTCGGGGAGGTCCAAGAGGGAGAGGCACTAGAGGACGCGCACGCCTGTGTCTATACCACGGATTGTAAAGGTTGGGAGATATGCATCTGCTTCTGCTGCATCTGATGCGGGCTGCGAGGAAATGGTCGGGTCGTGTTATGCTCGGGGCGGCGCCAAATTCGCTTGGCGGAGGCAAAGTCCGACGCGTGCCGACAAACAACCGTACATCCGTCTCCCAGGCCATCCTCACGATGCCCGTGGTCGCGGCCGACAACCTCCGCGCCCTCGCGCACCTCGTCGCGTCGCGCATGGGCTCCTCGGACGACGAGGCCAAAGAGGTCGCGGGTCACCTCGTGGGCGCCAATCTCGCGGGCCACGACTCGCACGGAGTGGGAATGCTGCCGGCGTACGTCAGGTTGCTCAAGGCGGGGCTGCTCGTGCCGAACCAAACCTCCGAGACGGTCGTCGATTTCGGCGCGCTGCTCGTCGTCGACGCGCGCCGCGGGTTCGGCCACCGCGCCGGGCGCGAGGCCGTGGAAAAGGCGATCGCGCGGGCCAGGGAAACCGGCGCCTGCGTGCTCGCACTGCGCAACGCCTCGCATATCGGCCGCGTGGGCCACTACGCCGAGATCGCCGCCTCAGCCGGATGCGCCTTCTCGGCATACGTCAACGTGTCGGACCACAAGCCGATCGCGGCCACCTGGCAGGCCGCCGAGGCGCGCCTGGGCACGAACCCCTTCTGCGCCGCCGTCCCCGTGCCCGGCGGCCCGCCGCTCATGCTCGACATGGCGACCACCACCATCGCGCACGGCAAGGCCCGCGTGGCGTACAACAAGGGGCAGCAGGTCGCCCCCGGATGCCTGCTCGACGCCGAGGGCAACCCGACCACGGACCCGACGGGGATGATCAAGGATTATGCCGGCGCGCTGACCACCTTTGGCCTACACAAGGGGTCCGGCCTGGCGATCATGTGCGAGGCCATGGCCGCGGGCGTCGCGGGGGGCCACGGCGAGTGGGAGCCCTACAAGAACGGGATCATCAACTCGATGCTGGCCACGGTGATCGACCTTTCCAAGATCGGCAGCGCGGAGCAGATCGGTGCCAGGGTGGGGGAGCTCAGGGAGCACATCAAGGGGGCCAAACCTGGGCCCGGGTTCAACGAGGTGCTGGTCCCGGGGGAGCCGGAGCGGCGGTACGAGGCGCAGAGGCTGAAGGCGGGGATCGACGTGGACGATACCACGTGGGGTGATCTGAGAAAGGCCGCCGAGGCCGTGGGCATCACCGCGGAAGAGTTCGACAGGGTGGCCGGCGAGCTCAAGTGAGGATAGGGGAACGCGGTGTAGGAATCTCGGAAGAAAGTGGGGCCGGAAGTGAGTGGAGAACGGATCCAACCATGCCTTCCTTCGTGCTTCTCGTCGGCAGTGGCTCAGCCGGTTCTGTGGATGATTTCGACAGTGATTCTGTATGCTTCGGGTAGGAAAACCGAGCAGTAGAAGGAGTGAGAAGATCTCATTGCCTTCAGTCAAGACGCAGCCATCCATGCTATCGTCATCCACCGACAGAGCCTCTAGATTACGGGTATAGCTCTCGTTCTGTCCCCTGGACACGCAGCACTCGCATATCGCATCCCCTACGTCTGCACCGCGTTGCCAGTCAGCTCCGCCATGGTCCGAAACAGAAGGTCCTGGTCCAGCGGCTTGGGAAGCCAAGCGTCGAAGCCCGCGGCCAGGCAGGCCTCCCGGTCACGGTCCAGCGCGTGGGCCGTGAGCGCGATTCTGGAGTGGGAAACAAGGCCCGGTCAGCGTTTGGCGAAGGGATCACGAAACAGCAACCCACATCGGCAGCCTCGTCCTCCCCCCAGCCGCCTCCACCTCCCTGATCTTCCTGCACACTTCGATTCCGCCCATGATCGGCATCTGTACGTCCGAGATAAAGATGTCGAATGCCCCCCGCTCGTACGCCTCGAACGCCTCGAGCCCGTTGGCGCACATGTGCACCGCGTGGCCGCGCCGACCGAGCAGGCGCTGGATGAGGAGCTGGTTGATCTTGTTGTCCTCGGCAACGAGCACGCGAAGAGGCGGGAGCACGGGCTGCCCCGGGCGGCGCGCGGGCCGCGAGGATGGGGAGGAGGCGGAAGCGGGGTCGGGTTCGGAGGAGGTGCCGGCCGCGGTCCAGCCGTCGAAGTAGCCCGGCTGGCCGCCCTCGCGGGGCTGCTGTCCGGGTTTGTTGCCCCGCCGGTGGCGCACCCCGCCGGGGTCCAGGGGAGGGGTCATGCCCGCGAGCGGCGGGGGTGTCGCCACCGCCGGGTCGAGGGCGAGCGGGGAGGGCATGACGTCCGGTTCCGGCAGCGGTTGCGGCCGCCGCGGCACTACGGGCTCGCTCAGGCCCGGCTCCTCGATGTCGCGAAGGTCCCTGCTGATCCCCGGCCCGTGAAATGCGATGAGGTCGCCGCTGGTCCCCGATGGCAGCCCCGTCGACCCCGCCGGCGGCTCCCAGACCGTCATCGGCAGGACAAAGACAAACTCCGAGCCGACGCCCTCGACGGACGAGGCGAGGTACAGCTCGCCGCCCATGAGTTCCACGATCCGCCGCGAGATGGCCAGGCCGAGACCGGAGCCGCCGTGCTTCCGGGTGTTGGAGCCGTCCGCCTGTGTGAATGGGAGGAAAATGATCGAGACTTTGGAGGCCGGGATGCCGATTCCCTGTGGGTGAAACGGCAAGGGCACTCCAGGTTAGAGGAAAGTTCCACCGCGGCCGCCAGCCACCCACCGTGTCCCGTACGCTGAAGCGCACCCTGACCTTGCCCGACCCCGACCCGACCTCTGCCACCCCCGAATCCGGCGCCACCTCCACGTCGATTGATATCTTGCCCGCCTCGGTGAACTTGATCGCGTTCCCGACGAGGTTGATGAGCACCTGGCCGATCCGGTTGCGGTCCCCCAGCACCGTCGCCGGCACGTCCTGGTGGACGGACCACGACAGCTCGAGGCCCTGCTTGTGCGCCGACACCTCGAGCGGGCGGAGCACGGTGCGGAGGACGGGGCGGAGCTCCATGGGCTGCGTGTTGATCTTGAGCCTATTGGCCTCAATCTGCCGGGCGCGGAACGGCATCAGCTGGGGCGATGGAGGGCAATCGAGGCCGATGACGGACCTTGGCAAAGTCCAGGATGTCCTCGACGATGGCGAGGAGGACCTCGCCCGACATCCGCACCGTCTCGACCATCTCGCGCTCCTCCGTGCCCAGAGAACCATGGAGCAGCTCGTCGGTGAGGCCGAGAATGCCGTTGAGAGGCGTTCGGACCTAGTGTGGGAGCAATGGGTAAGCTAATGAGGTCGGCTCGCCGTCCCGACGACACCCACCTCGTGCGAGACGTTGCGCAGGAAATCCGACTTGGCCTGGTTCGCCGAGTTTGCAAGCGCCGCCATCTCCGCATATCGCGACGTCAGCACCCCGAGCCGCTCGCGCTGCAGCACTTCGTGCTTCTTTATCTGCTCCTCGTCACGGAGCAGCAGCAGTCGGGAGCGGAAGATGGTGTAGGTGAGCAGGGTGCTCGACGCCAGGCCAAAGATGAAGTGCACGAGCAGCGGATCCTCGGCCAGAGGCGCGACGGGAGGGAGCGGCGGGGCGTCCGGGAAAAAGGCCTCCATCGCGGCGCGGGCAACAAGATAGGCGGGCTCCGAGGAAAAGGCACACCACGCCCACGCGCCCCACGAGAGCGCGATGAAGCTCAGGCACCATTTCTCCTCGAAGAACAGGGCCCCGGAACCCACAACAAGCAGCATGATGTTGCTGGACTGCCACATTTCCCGTGTGAGGAAGACGTGCAGCGTCGAGTTCAGAAGGACGAACAGCGAGCAGTAGAGCACGCCCGGTTGGGCCCATCGTGCGTGCTTCCGGTAGAAAGCCTCTGGGTCCGGTCCCGCCAGGTACACCACGAGGAAGTAGAAGGCCAGTTCGGCGGCACTCGACGAGAAGGCCACGGCAGCCATGACGATGTTCACGGGAGGCGGCAGGATCGCGCGGTGGCCCAATCCGAGGAACCCGAAGATGCACGCGCAGGAAAAGGCAAAGCCGCGCAGCGACGCCATCGTCACGCGGTCGGCAGCGGCGCGCAGCTCGGCCGCCGTGAGCGCCTCGGCGGCGACGGGCGCCGAGTCCGCCGCCGCGCCGCCCGCCCCGCCAGCCGCCCCGCCGTCGCCGCTATCCGGCGGACGAGGCCCCGAGGGCGCGTCCTCGGCCATCGCGCGGCGGCCAGACGCTGGAGAGGGCACAGCCAGCGATGTGGCCGACCGGCGGCAATAGCGCCCCACCTCGACTCCCAAACAAGGGATCAGGATGGCGCCGCGCGGACACCGCCAGGACCGGAGCGGTTATGCCTCCAAAGTGTCGGATCCGCCTATTTCCGTTGTGGAAGACATTATCACACGCTCTGCCGGTCGCGATGGATGGGTCGGATCCCCTTGCCAGGCTCCCGCTTCGGAGCATCAGCTGCCCCAGGTGCATCTCCTCCCGACGTCGAGCACGTTTCGGACATCCATTGACACATTGTCCAGCAATGGATTCTCGCATTGGGACTTCTCTCGGTGATGATGCGATGTTTCCGAGTTCTGGCGCCTGGCCCCCGGCCGCAACGGCAACCGACTCCCGCCAGCAAACCCCAGACTGCCCGTGCAAACGAGCCACTCGGAACTGCATCCACGTTCGCCTCGCCGGGAGCGTGGGGGAAGCGGGCCCCGCGTGCTGCGGCCTGGCCCCGGTCCCAGCGACCGGCACCCTGATGTCGGCCACCCCCCCCTCCCATAACACTGGATGGGGGTTTAGTGGTATAACGTCGCCGTTCGCATTAGCGCTTGACGTGCGCAGGACGGGCTTAACGTTGCGCGGGGAGCCTGTGGGCTGGCCGGAGATGGCCAGCACCCACATGGCGGCCATCTCCCCCTCCATCAACATATTGGATGGGGATTTAGTTTAGTGGTATAACGTTCCGTTCGCATTAGAGCACATCCTGCTTGGAGCGTGCTTCGGAAAGGCCCCGGGTTCAATTCCCGGAATCTCCATTCGACCTTTTGCCTCCTGGGTGAAGGGGAGGCTTGGGGTGGCAGGCGCCCGTCCCAGTAAACGGGCGGACGAGCACCCAGCGAGTGGGCAGGGCATTCGTCAGATCTCTATTCGTCACATTCTCGTACATGAATCGATCCGCATCAAGCTTGCGGATGTGTGATGCCCAATCATCCCCTGCTAGCGTCCCTCGCCGCCCGAACGTCACGCAAGAGGTCCGTCAGCCAAGCGTGCTCAAACACCTTGAGCTCCGCCAACAGCGCCTCCAGTAGACTCTCAAGGTCCGACATGCTGCCATTGTCCGAGAAAACGGCCGTCTCGGCACACCCATACAAGTCCAGGAACGACGACAGAGCCCGATCCCACGAAATCCATACACGCGTGCGCCTCATTAAATCGAGCACGTGCTCCACGACCAGGCCTTGCCTGCCGCGACAGACGACCATGTCGTGCAGAAGAGAGTCCCGCGGGCCAAGCAGGGTCCGCGGGTCCGCGACAGCTTGGTCCAGCGCCGTGATGCGGATTCCGTCGACCAGCTCCACGAACCAGGCAGCATTGCACCGCACGCGCCGGAAGAGCTCCGCGTTGGCACGCGCGTTGATGCGCTGCGAGAGGAAGCGGGGAAGATATCGGCCGGGGAGAGCGAGGCGTCCGCCAGAATTCGGCCACCGGCGGCAGCGATCCCGGGGCCGGCTGTGGCCGGGCGTCCTCTGCTCCGAAGTTGTACGATCCAGGATTAGGCCATTCCTGCGCTTCAGCGAGGGAAGCGGTGATTCTGTTCTGTTGGTGGGACGCGGGACGCTTTCGCGCGTCGCTTCCGGCCCAGGCGGGTCGATGCTCCTCGATCCGACTGAAAGCTTCATCACACGCCTGGCGTGACGAAGATTGACTTGTTGTTTGGTGGATCCACAGACTCCGTCGATGCTGGACTTGCAGCTTCCGCGGCCGAGTCGCCTGTCGGATGGACCGCCGCACCGATCACAGGATGCGAAGACCAATATCTTCGAATCGAAAGCCAACGAACAACGACCCATGCGCTCTCCGACCGTGATGCAGCTCCCCTTCCCTCCAATGACGATGGCGCCTCCGGGCAGCGCAGCACGGTGCTTCATGCCAGCGGCACCACCCTCCCTCGCCCCTCGTCCGCAGGCATCCCTCCGCCGCTGCTCCGGTCCCTTCTTCGCCTCCGTCTCCTCTCCGGGCGGAGCGGCTCGAGCTTGACGGCAATCGAGCCCAAACCGAGCAGGTTCTCCGGGATCTCCCGCGGCGGCCCCCGGTTCGTCCTCCTCGTCGTCACCGCGGCCCTGGTCGGCGTCCGCGTGGCCGTGGTCGTCTCCGTGGCCGTGGTCGTCTCCGTCGTCGTCGCCGTTTCCGTCGCGGACGTCGTGGAGGTCGTCTGCGTGGTCGTGAGAGTGGTGGTCCATGTCGTGCGCGTTTTGGGCCTGTTGTCCGGCCCGGGGCTGAAGAAGAAGGCCGCCTGGGGCAGGGCGTACCACTCGTTCATGGCCGTCAACACTGCAGCGTGGCATGGTAGGCGCGAAAGAACAGGATCGGGGGCAAGCGTCGGGAGAGAGTCGAGGTCAAACACGGGAAGCATCAGGACCGTCTGCCGCTGCACCCACCCGTCACGTAGATGGAAACCTCGGTCCCGTTCTCCGGCACCTGGGTGAACGTCGTCCACATGACGTCGAAAGTCTCTTTCGCCGACGCATCGGTGTGCTCCAGCACCGATTCGTCGGTCGAGCCGCAGTCCCATTTTATCTTCAGGAAGTCGGGGATCTGGCTGAACTGCCCGATGTAGCCCTGCCCGTCCGTCGCATACATCAGGATCCCCTTGAAAGCGACCGGCGCCTGCACGGTGACCATGTAGTAGCCGGGTTTGGAGCCGATGCCGGCGGTGGCCACCGAGAAACCGCCGTTGCCGTTGCCCGCGGGCCCGTGGGCGGCGACCATCTGGCTGATCTGCCGCTGCGAGCAGAGCGCACCGGCGCCCGTCGGGAACGGGGCCGCGAGGGGGAGGAGGAGCAGCCGAAGGAGCAGGAAGAGGAGGGGGAGCCGTAGGGACCGTCCCGGAACGGGGCGCCGCCGGGGGCGCGGCATGCCGGCCGGCGCCGGGCCCGCGCGGGCCAAAGCGCCCAGAATGTCCCGAGAGGCGTGCGCGGGGTATTTGCCGGTCGCTGGAGGCGGCCGGCGTCGGATGGGGGGTTGTCAGCGCGGGGCTGGTGAGGTGGTTGGGCGGGTGCAAAATGACGAGTCCTGGAAATGACCAACTCGCAACCAGATTGGCTGTTTCCAGCCGAAATACAGCGGAGAGTCGTTTCTGGAGCTCGGATGATCGCATCGGACGTGGCCGCGCGGCCCTCGAATGGATCCGAGAACAATACTTCTGGCACAGCCAGCCAGCCATGCCGCAGGCGGTTTCACCTTGCAACCAAGGATATGGCGGTTATCGATTCATGCGCTAATGCGAATGGCGACGTTATGCCACAAACTAAATCCCCATTCAATGTATTGATGGAAGGGATGCCGACTGCGGGACCGGAGTGACCGGCGAGCGGGACACCGGGCCGCAGCATGCAGGCAGGATTTGCTTCCCGGACACTCTGCCGCGATGGACGCTAACTTGGTCTCAAGCGCTCTTTGGAATTCGCAGTCTGAGGTTTGCTGTTGAGACTGGATGGGATATGGCTCTCTGCGCTGGCGCCGCGCACCGGAGGAGGGCGGACGAGCGGACGAAGCCGCCGACCCACTTCGACGTTTTGAAGGACGATCCTGCGTGGACGAACGGCCGATTCCGAGCAGCAAGATCCAGATTCCCCTCCCCCGCCGCGCCCTACACTGCGCCGCCTACATCCCCCTCCCATCCCTCCCGCTGGGCGCTAGAACACGTCCAGGATGTACAGCATCAGGTAGGACACCTGGAACGTCAAAATGTGGCTGTCGAGCCGGTCCAGCAGCCCGCCGTGCCCGCGGAAGACGTCTCCGGAATCTTTGACGCCCGCGGCGCGCTTGATGAACTGTCCGCCGCGCCCAATGGGAACCGATCAGCATGCCGCCAAAGGGGCGCAACGGGAAGCACCCACGCTCTCGACCAGATCACCCGACGCGCCCACCGCCCCCACGATCCAGCCAAACACCAGGAGCACGGGCCAATGCTGCTTGGTCCGCTCGGGCATCCACGCGACGGTCCAGCCCCCGGCGGCGCGCTGCAAGAGGACGGCGAGGACGAGGCCGGAGGGGGCGAGGAGGATGTGGCCGAGGAGGCCTTCGAGGGTTTTGTTGGGGCTGCGGAAAGAAAGGAGGGGTCGAGTTGGTTGGGGGGCGGAGATGGGGGTTTGGGACGGCCTACCTGAGGCCGGGGACGACCTTGGTGCGGCCCAGGGCGCGGCCGACAAAGTAGCCGAAGGTGTCGCCGAGAGCGGTGGTGAGCGCCGTGGCGACCAGCCGTTCGCCTCCGTACTTCCAAACGGCGAGGGTCAGCCGATGGCGGCCCCAGGTCGAGGGAAGCGGCCCACCTTGGACATCCGCAGCATCCCCGCGGCCCCGCCGATCCCCTGCCCGATCCACACGTATCCCAGCACGCGCGCGCCGAGCTCCAGAAGCTTGCCCTCGAAGAAGCCGCGCGGGTCCGCGACCGACTCGCGCTTGGGCGCGACGACCATCACGTGGGCTTCGACGGCGGGCGGATCAGCGGCTTGACGGCCCCGCCGCCGGAAAAAAACCCACCGAACATGATCGAGATGATGGCAAGGGTGTGGTAAGTAAACAGCGCCGGCGCCGCGCGCGGGTCGCCGACGGCGAAAAAGGTCGGCACGACGGGGACAAGCACGCCGGCGACGAGCAGCACGACGTCCGGCATCTCGTCGCGCGGCGGGCGGCCGGTGGGGATGGCCTCGATGAGGCGGTTCAGCAGGCCGACGAGGGAGAAGCGGCGCAGGGAGGGGAGGGGGCGCTCCTTGCGCGGTTGGGGGGCATCCGGCGGCGTGGCTTCCCCGTCCTTCGCCTTCTTTTCGCCCTCCTTCTCCTTCTCCTTGGTCTTTTCCGCGGCTTTCGACAGCGTGGTATTGGAGGCGGAACGCCGCATGGGCCCGGAGGCGTCGCCGTTTGGCAGCGCGAGGGTCGGCCCCGGGAGCGGGGTGAGGGGGGGCAGCGCCAGCCCCTGCGCGGGCTCCAGCGCCGGCGTCGCCACGTCGTCGGCCCACGGCCTGTCCGGGTTCAGCGAGTCCGAGAGGAACGCGCGCGTGTGCGACGAGATGCGGCGGAACTCGACGAGCATCGACAGCGACAGCAGCGCGAGCAGGAACGTCTGCACGGCCGGGTGCGGCGGGAACGCCAGGACGAGCGCGGCCGGCAGCCACTGCGCCACCGTCAGCAGCCGCTGCCGCGTGCCCGGCGACACCATCGCGGGGGGCGGCGCAGGGCGGCAGCTGAATGTGGTGTTTGGGGTTTGGGGCGCCTAGACAGGAAAAGGTATCGGCCATCTGACATCAGGGGCTGGCCGCCCGAGACTCTAACCGCCCTCTAACCGGATCTCTAACCGCCGACCTCCTTCACCCCAACCACCCGCAAACCACTCCCCGCCCCTCCGTGGCCTCCTGCGCCAACGCCGGATGACGAATGCGCCCGAGCCGCCCTCCGCCGAGCTGCGCACCCTCGCGGCCCACGCCGGGCCGTGCAACGTCGCGCGCTACAACGCGACCGGCGCGTACCTCCTGACGGGCGGCGCCGACCGCCTCGTGCGGCTGTGGAACCCGGCCACCGGCCTGTGCATCAAGACGTACGCCGGCCACGGCTGGGAGGTGCTCGACGTGGCCGTCGCCGCGGACAATGCGCGGTTCGCGTCGGGCGGGGGGGACAAGGCCGCGTTCCTGTGGGACGTGGCGACGGGGAGGGCAATAAGGCGGTTCGCCGGCCATACCGCGCGGATCAATGCCGTGGATTTCAACGGCGACGCCTCGCTGCTGGCGTCGGGCAGCTACGACGCAACCGTGCGGCTGTG